TACCATAAATCTTATTTTAATCAAAAACTTTATATGAACTTTCTTGTAGAATTTTCGATTTAATTGGTCTATTAGGAAATAATTTTGTTTGATTTCCCTTGTAGTTTACCAGTTGTATGGTTATGTGGTTGTCGCCGTAAATAAAAGAAAAAAACCTCGAGACCGTTTGAGGCATTTATATTACACATAATGGGTTATACCGGTATTCTTTTATATAATTTTTGTTGATTTCAGGGTTATCTCGGCGACCGGGAAAAATACGACCAATAATACACGGCTCGGTTTCGTAATTCGTCTGTCGTTGCGTACAGAGACAATTTAAATCACTCCACATGCCCACCCCGCCAACTTCCCTCCTGGAACAGTGGCACACTTATCGACGGTACCAGCCTATTTTCACGATATTTTTTTTTTTTCCTTCGCGATATCCGATTTACATCATTGGATTCTTCCGGCAGTCCGACTATGAACCGCGGTCCCTTGATTTTGTATACCCGTACGCGTGGATTATTATTTCGACGGTGCGGAAACGATTTATCAATCGAGGCGATTAAATCACGAAAAACCCGTCGACAAACGACCAAACGATTTTCGCGGGGCATAATGCGATTGACAATATATTATATAACCAACGCACAGGCAGCCGACACCGGGCACAATGTGCCGACGACGATAATATTACAAGGGGGAAGTTGGATCACACGCATACAAAAAAAAGATATATATATATACCTATTATATGTAAATAAAAAATCGTTCGTCGTTCTGAATTGTTTTCGTTCCCGCGTACTGCAGTTGTTGTGGGGTTTTAAAAATATTACTATTATTATTATTATTATTTTTTTTTTTTGACTTTCCATTTCTAATGTAATATACATACGTAAATACACAGTGTTTTCATACACCTAACGTTAATCCTAGGTACCACTGTTTAAAACTTTTTCTTCTATCTGAACGCCCGTTCCTACTAATTGACAGATAGCGTGTTTCGTGTTGAGTGGGTTTCCGTCCAAATCCAATATATGAAACGATAAAAGTTATTCAAAACTTTCTCCTCTCGTTTGAAACGTAGCCGGTAACGCAGATTGTTTTTTAAACACGCCATTTATGAGGCTTTCTGTAATTGTGTAATGATATGCTATTTAAGCTATCATACATTATGTAAAATAAAATATTATGTAATGTTAATAAATCAAACAATTAATAACAGGAATGATAGTAAAACATTTACATCCGATTCCATTCTTTTTTATTATCAAATAACATATATTTTAGTACGATATTTACTCATCGTAAGGAGATAATACTTAAGCTATCATATATAATTAAAATAAATTATATAATCAATATTGTAAAATAATTATAATAATTTGTAGCCATTAATTATTAGATTAAGTTGTTAGTATTAACCAAATTAAGATAACACTTTTACACACGCACACACACATATTTCTCCAGTTATAAGGAGGCCGGCCACTTCCAATACCCACACAGTGTATGTATTGTTCCCGTTGCTTTTGGACAGATGATCACAAGCGAGTGTAAAAGACTACGCAGAGATTCTTACAAAAGCACGGGAACCTAGAACAGTGTTTTATATTTTTAAAAAAAAATTAATAAAAAAGAAACAGTTGTTATATTAAAAATCTTTTTATTTACTACGATCACCTATATCAAATTCAACAGATCAATTTGCCGCCTGAAGAAGAAAGGTAATCAAATTTATAATTAATTTATACGTGTAAATCGATTTTACATAACTAGGCACTCCCCGCCTTATTTTTGAATTACTACA